TATATATATGTGTGTGTGTGTGTGTATAGTAGAAAACCATCTTAATCTCTTCTAAAGACTTTATTCTTGTCTGTCTTCAATCGACCCCAGCAGCACACACAGTCAGCAGGCCTCAGAGTAAAAAACTTTGGTGCCTTATCAGAAAACCAAACCAAAACAGTCCAGTCTGTCCCAGGCTGAATTTAAGGAGATACTGTACACAAAAAACTCTTTTACGTCAGACAACTAACCAACTTTTGTTTATCCAGACAGAAAGAACACATGATAAGACACACCAACTCTCATTCTCTGTTTTGAATCGTATGGCTGCAATGATCAGAATGTATAAAAATACGATACTGGATCTAACATTCAGTTGATCAGTTACAAAGTTTCCTTCAATTGCATGAGATAGATACCAGCTGCTGTGACACTTAACAGCAGCAAATAGGTGAAGATAATAGATGGACGACTCAGTGAGAACAAAAAATATTAATAATTACAAAACTACAGCCAACAAATAATTAAAGGAAACAGTTCAGTCTGAGAAAGGACCTAATGCTTGCATCGCTCTTCAGCTGATCATTTACTGTATGCCAAGCTTTCAGCTAATACATGTTATTTCTTACTAAAATACAGTTTTTTGTCTGTCAAACTGTGCTTTGTTTGTTCTTCAAGTATTTAACTGAACATACTGCCTTTGTATCAGCCTGATAGTAACAAAGTACACCAGCTTTAGTTTTTTTTGGATTGCTCTTTTCCAGCCATGACTCAATGTGTGACTGACTAACAAACTCTGGATCACCAGTGAGCTAAAGGAACTGTTAAACAAGAAAAAGAGAGCCTTTAGGGAGCGAGACAGGGAGTTATTGAGGAATACACAGAAGCAGCTCAAAGTCAAGATCAGACACAACAAGGAGGTTTATAGAAAGAAGCTGGAAAGGAAACTACAAAGGAACAATATCAGAGATGTGTGGTCAGGGATGAAGAAGGTCACAGGCAAAGCAAAAGGAGAATGGGATGGATGGAAGTCTGGACAGTCACCACTGTGCTGCTCAGGATGGGAGACTGCGATGAGGTGAAGATTCAGCAGAATCTGCTGGCTTCTTCAGATTTAGTTTTTTATACAGTTCCCTGAGATGACATTTGTTGTGACTTAGTGCTGTATAAATAAACTGAATTGAATTAAGCTGAACATTTAACCTAACTGAGGTCTATAGAGTCTCTTGGGTTTTTTGGAATTTCTTGGGAAACTTATGAAATTTGATCTTGGCTTCCATTTGCTGTAATTTTCCCTCCTGGGAAGATTTGATCCTCATTTTATCATCAGCACCTGAGTCCTACTTTCCCTTTTACAGTTAGTTCTGTAGACTGAATTTCTCACACAAGCTTTTCCTTCTGGTTTCACTTTAGTTGACTAAATATTGACATGATGAAATCTGTGTTTTTTTTTTGTTCACTTAAGATTAAATTTGAATAGCTCTGGTAAAACCAGACCCTAAATTTAGTAAACTAAAGTGTGCTAAACCTTGATTTATCTTTTTGTGCCTCCAGGTTATCCAGAACACATGGCTCTGAGTGACTTCAGGTGTCATTTCCAGGCTTTATCTCCTCCCATTATGAAACGTTACGCTTCAATGTTTGTCAGCCACAACGAGAGGAAGGTGGGAAGTCAAATCACAGGAGCTCACTCTTACAAACAGATCCAAAGCTACGAAAAAAATTCAATGTTTTCCTTTGTGTCTCAGGCAGTGGAGGAGCTGCTGGTTGAGTTGGATGTCGATAAAAAGAGTATTGTTGTGGGAAACAGCAGGGTGAGTTTACGTTTGACCATCAGATGGACACTTCATAGCTAACAGCTCAAGAAGCTTTTTCCTGCTGTGTTTTAGGTGTTCATGAAGCGAGGTGTGCTGCACTACCTGGAGCAGCAGCGGGATCAGCAGGTCACCAGCTGGCTGGTTCATCTACAGGCGGCAGGCATGGGACACCTGGCCCGTCAGAAATATCGCAAGCTCAAGGTCAATCTTTCTTCTGCTTTTCTGCTTTTTTGGCTGAGCTCTGGGGCCCCATGTATGAATGCTGCATGTGCACCCAAAGGCTGCACCATGTACCTGAAACAGACATGGCTCAGATGGCAGCATATATTGCTCTAAAACCTGTCTTTAAGCATAATTGGTGCCTTCACAGATGGGAGCAACAGGTTGTGACTTTTTTTGCAAAAAAAAAATAGACAAACATCAATCCTGAGGACATTTCGACCTGCCACACCTTGCCCACTAAATCAGAAAAAAAAAAAACAAGCCAGCCCAATCGTGCAACTCTTTAGCTACCTAACATTAGCTTGTGCTTAGCTGAGGTAAAAAATATTGATGTGCATTTGGAAGTGCACTTTTCTTGACACACAAATACTTATCACATCCAAATACAAAATCAGTCATCATGTATGTTGTCCTTTCCTTGGGTACACTGTTGCAGAGGTCCTGGCCATGCTGCAGGACTCTGAAACTGTGGACATCACAGTTGTGCCTGAGTCAGAAATGCATGCACATGACACAGACTGTGACAGTGACCAATATGATGACGAGGTCACTGGTGACCAATGACCATAACCGCCTCTCATTGAGATTACTGAAAGGTGAAGGCTCAGGCAGATCGTTGGGCCCATGCTCTACAAAACTAAGACCCAAGACAGTAAATTCAAAAAGATAAAAAGATTGAGGCCAAAGCACCAGCACAAGCATCAGATCCCTCATTATGTCCCCAAAGAGCATGATCCTGGCTTCACATCAGATGATTCAGTCGATATCTTCCTCACATTGTGTCCCAAGTACCTCAGAGATGCCACACTGGAAATGTTCACTCTCCATGATGAACAAAAAGGGAAAACACTCAATCTGACTGAGGATGAACTTCTGACATTCTGTATTCTGTTGATCAGATAAAAAAAAAAACAGTTCAAATTGTTTGTTGTTTGGAATTTTATACAGGAGGAACCTGAGGCTAATTCTGACTACATTATTATTTTGTTATTACTATATTATTATGACCCCCGCACGCGAAGTGTAAGTG